GATGCTGCCAACTTGCAGGGTGGCACCTTCTCTGTCACTATTTGAACACATATGGCTGAATTACACCAATAACATAGAGCTTATAGTAGTTTTACATCAGAAATGGGTTGTTTTAATAGAAAAAAAACATTTAAATATGTTACTTCGCACACAGGTGATTCTTTTGGGGTTTAATGAACAACTGTTGTGGGACTTTAAAGCACCGACAGTCATTTCTAGAACCTTCCCAATACACACTAATGAGATTCAAAGGCTGGGAGAGAAATCTGACAAACAGTTACAGGTGCACATGTGGAGCATCTGGTGTTGGCATTGCCAGCTACTTGTCATGTAATATGACAGTGGAATAAAATAGTTTCTCAGATCACCCAAAGTCTCCTCGTGACACCTCTTGATTTATAAAACTTCAGTTAAAAAAAAAAAAACGAAGTGTGGAAACGTGCTGGCATCAAGAGGCATCATCTCACCTTCTTGGCACTTTCTTTCACCTGTCTTGACAGAAATTTTACAGATTCAAGCCTGAATACGGCGATTAAACGGTTTGTTGAGATGAACATTTCCTGCAGGTCCGATCTCAATTGAAATTCTCGGCTCCCCTCTCCTTTCCCCGTTTGATGAATAATATGAGCGCGGACAGAAAGAGAGCGAGAGAGAAAGAGATATGTGCGAGCATTAAATGTGTATTCATCAGGTCTGGCCCCGGCCATTGACAGGCTAATCAATGTTTAGTAAAAAGGCTGAATGTGGAATGAGGTGTGGAGGGTCTGGGTCAGGACAGAGGGGAAAGAGATATCAATTAAGCAGGGAACTGCAGTCTGGGCCCGAGGAGCTGAGACGGCAATATCCCGACTCTGGTTCATTAACTAAACTATGTACGCTGAATGCAAAACTCCTGCAGTCGCCCCCCCTCCAAAACCACCACCCGTCCCAGCTGTAAATGGCCGCCTCATTCAATGGAAATGAGGGAGTCACTGCAGCAGGTAGAAAAACGCTGTTGATAGCGCACATAATGAAATACCTCTGAGGCCGCGCAGCCAAATAATATCCACACGTGATGCAATAAAGCGAAACGTGTGAGGTGCCCGCAGGTTTGGAAATGCAAGGCAGGACCCAAACACATTACCAAATTATATTGCCACATATTTGCATACAATACGCATTCAGTGTAAATTAGGAGAAGCGGTGGATGAAACTAAATAGGCTCATTCTCATGCTGCAGAGATATAATTTAGATGTTCTTTTTGTAAAGATATGAGGAAATTTGTCAGCAACTGAACTGACCTCTGTTTTTGTTCTGTACAATTTTAAGCACTTATTCTAAAGTTTTCCAGCAGCTGAGGTGTCTCATAGCTTTTGTTCCACTGTGCTCCATGGGAAACTTCTACATTTTTCTTATACTTCCACATCTATTTGATGCCTGGAGGTCTTCCCTTTAGGGATTCTAACCTCCCAGATGTAGGTAGGCATACAAGTTAAATCATCAGACTCACTACCAACTTTTAAACGATTTTAACAATTTAGTTTTGTCTTCTTTCTATTTATTTGTTTGAGAACTGTCTGTGGGACCATTTTTTTCCTCAAGACATAGTTCTGATGCTGTTGAACTACTTGATATGGTGAATAAAAGAGCTTAATGAGCAATTTGGCATTGCATTTTTATCAAGTGTTTGGGGACTTGCAGGAGACAGAAAAAGAACAAACAAACAGGAATCAAAACCAATGCAGGAGAGGGTAAAATATTCAAACTCTTAGTCTCTCATATGGAATAAAGAACACAAATTGTGGATCATGAATTCCCATAATGCATTTTGACTGTCTGTTACAATACCCTGCTTGTCTAGCAGATGCTTATGTCTTCAAACATTTCTTATTTCTGGCTGAACTCTTGCACTTTGATGTACATGCTTGATCGTGTTGGTCAGCTGACCAGATGCTGCTCATTACAAAATCCAGGATGAAAACAAAGTGTGTTCACATGTTCCATAGGGCTGCCTCTCGCCTCTGAACCTTTAACTCCTCACATCAGATCTGCACTTTTAACCACTTTGTGCTGTACAGCACTTTAAATGTGCTCCATATATAAACAGACTTGATGACTGGTGAGCTGATTTTCAGTGGTGTGTATCTGTAATAATCTGCCAATAACATTCTATCTAATATATTGATTATACTGGTAATACAATAAAACATGTTTCCTGAAACCTGCTGCTAATACTTATGATCCCCAGAGAGCAACGTAAAGCCTGTGAAGGCCAGTGACATCCAACACGTTCTCACTCTTTATTAAATGCATTCACCTTGTTGACGATGCATTAGGCATCCAACAGTGGCCTGACGCCAAATAGCCCTTAACTGGACATTTACCACAGCTCTGCAAAATGCCGTCGAAGTAACTCTTCAGTTAACAATTGAAGTACTATTATTTTTTTTTGGTGTGGTTTGATTGGATCAAGATTCACTTTACTGATTTTTTCATTTATTTATTTGCGTGAATACGTGTTAACAGGTTGTAAAATTGTTCACTATAGTTAAAAAAAAAAACAGACGTCCCTAAACACCACAATCATCAGCCGTCTACTTTTTCTGTTTACAAGAATTTTAACACAGATCTGTTAAACCATCCAAATCCAGAAGCACTGCAGCTGACGGTAACAGTGGCCTTACATCCTCAGGTTCCTCTAACTTCATGTTTTGGGCATACTGAGTGTCCAACAGCACAGCGGCTGTACCGTGGGCCTGCTCTGCTGCTGCAACGTTTAAGCAGAATGGTTGGCTTGCTAAGGAGGTCTGAACGCAGCGTGTAAGACGGCCTTGATGAATAGGCAACTTTGAAGGCAGCAGGGATGAGAAAATGTGGCATCCAGCATGGACGGGAACTGGAGATGACCTCGAAATCAACAGGGGGGGACACCAGGGAGAAAAAAAGCAAATATGCAAAATTGTGGCCGCGTGCCACTGCTGGCAAAGTGCTGCCTCGATATATGCTGCAGCAAGAAAGCCGTCTATATTTGCAACGTGAAAGTAAAGAAATCTAATGTCGGGTTGTTTTCATTCTATTTGGAAATTTGGCTTGATGTACAAGCAGTGCAGCAGCAGCAGCAGGATAAATGGCTGTAAATCGATTAATGGATCGCTGGTAATGAAAGAAGAAATTACAACCCAAACCTCACAATAACTGATTGTCTTATTGAACCGAGAGAGACAAATGAGATGGGGGTTTTCAGGAGAGAATGGCAACCTGAGTCAAAGGATTAACTGGAATTATGCACATTTGCACTGTTTTTGGATTTAAAAAAACAAAAACAAAACACATTGAAGCGGACAGCGGGGTCCATGTACTCCGTACACATATGAGCTACACAAACACCAGTGTGTGTGTGTCATTGTTCTGAGCAGCTTTAGAAGTCCTAAATGTGCCAGCATCACCTAAATACCAAAACATGTGGCGCCTGAGGAGTGGACTTTTCTCCCCCACATGCCTGTTGACATCCTAGACGCACTCAGCCCACTAGTGGTCGCACTTTGGCTTTGTGCAGTCCTGTCTGGACTCAATGCGACTTAATTCAACTCACTAGTACATGCAGACTAACATGCGCACGCACGCACACACACACACACACACACACACACACAGCCCAGAGGCAACTTACACAAGTTTTCACCTGAATTCCTTCCCACCCCCCACTCCTCCTCCTCCCGCCTTCAACACTCCTGCAGGGAGCTCTCATTTCCATGCATGTCCCAAACGGCAGAAAGCAATAAAAATGCAAATTTCATTTTTTTTATCAAACCACCAAACAAACTACACACACGCCGTTATTCTCCACTCATGAAGTCCATTTCATGCCTCTGCTTACCTGAAAAACACTACCGTTTCCCACAGATAGATCCCCAGCGCGTTTAGTCGGCACATTTTGGCCAGTCTCATTTTGTTTGGAGGGGTTGGTGGGGGGGTGGAGGAGGGGGGTG